TTTTGGAAACTACTGGAATTCTAAATGTTCACCTCCCGAATGCACCAGTAAGATTCACTTTCTCAGTGGAAAAGATACCGAAGTTCAAAATCAAAGAATTATTTCGACTACTCATCGTGTGTACCAGTGGCGTGACCCAGGGGCGGGGGGCTTTGGGGCTGTACTTATATATTATATATTTTATATTTGGTCAAAACGACCCAAATAACTGATTTAAAGATTATATGTGCTGTTTACACTTCACGGAGTTTAAGAATGGGTAAAAGTTTAAAAGTTAAAACCACAGGAATTTAAGTTGTATGGCAACGCCGTGCAGTATCAGCTAATAATTAGGTAATAATCAACGAAAATTAAGCAAATCCGTTAAGTCCACGCTGATTGTGAAATAACTGATTAAATAGTTTTATACTTTTATGATTTTAAAATATCATTAAAATAACTAATAAGTATATATTATTATTTTTAAATGATAAATTAATGTATGAGTATAATATAATATCAATAACTTATATCGGCCGATGACTCGCGTGATGTTCGATGTTATAAATTTAACTCGTCGGACCGTGGAACGGTATTTATTCAACATACCGCACCACGTTACTACAGTAAATTAATATAGGTCCACAAAATATATATTATTATACATTATGTTTATAAGTCGGTTATTAGATAATAATAGTCAATCGTTCGCATAACATTGGTATCTTTATAACGCTCGTTATTTATTATTTTTTTTTTTTCGTCTTTTTTTCATAAAGATTACAATAACGGTTATTATTAAGCTTTTATTATACCCGGATCCATGTGGCGTTTTGTATTTATAAACTTTGAAAAATTAATAACGTGTAAGTTCGTAGGGGCCGATGGTCGGGTGCAGATAACCCCGCCGCCGCCGCCACACCACCACAGCCGACGACGACGACCGCATGCATGGTATATAATACGCGTACAATATTATTATTATTATTATTACCATTATAGTATATAGGCGCCAGAATATATTATTTACCGACCAAACGGCCATCTGTTTTAGATACCGTGCCCGGCGTTGACAATCCGTTCCGTTGCGGACACCTTACGTATTATAATATATTATTATTATTATTATTTCCAATACAAATTCCAGACCCCGAGACACGCCGAAATTCACCGACGAATACAATATTTAAAATAAACAAAAAGGTGGTGGCGGACTCTGCATCGTCATCCTTTGCGAGGACTGTATCCTCTACTATATGTGTATGTTATGACTATAGTAGTTATGACTTATTATAATAGTTATAACTCGTCGGACGCGAGTGAAATAATATATACATATACACGATTTGATATTATATGTTAGGTATATACGGGTATTATATGAGACAGTGCGTGATGGTCACACCTCACAACTAGAGCGAGTCATCTGTGTTTTATCAGTTGTCTATATTGTAATGTATAATAATATTATATTATATTTTGACGAATGTACAAAAACAAATTTTATTTCAATAGATTTCTTTTTTTATTACATCACAACGTCATATTTTTATACTTTGACGCATTTCAAGCGTACTTAACCCCACTCGTAAATATCGTTTTATCCATTTTAAGTCACGGAGACTGCAAATACACACAGCCAATAGTTAAATAAAAAAATTAGTCTCAAAACGTAACGATGATAGTTGCACTTTTTTGTTGTCAGTATAATATTATGATGTCGCATATAGGGGCCAAAATGTGTGAAAACAGCCATCATGTAGAATTTGAAAAAATTTAATAAAATAAAAAAGGTATGTAATATTATATCATATTATTATACAATAATTATACATTTATATTTTATACAAATAAAATAATACACGGCCACTAAAACGGTGGTCAAGTGTGTACTCATCTACTTTACAGAAGCCAGTAGGTGTCGAGTGGGTCACTGTAATGGATGTGTAAATGTGTTATATACTTATATTTGTATTCAATAGTAATATAAATACATTGTATACAAAAAATCTATGCATTTTTTCTACCCCAAAATGTGGTGATTAGACAGGAAAAATCACCTATAGCCCATCGCATTTAGTACTATAGACCCGTTTCGTTTATGATACAATTTAAGATAGGTACATTGGGAGGCAACTATCGCATACAAATTATCAACAATTTTAACTTTGGAAGGCAATTAGTATATACATATGCCCATTTAAGTACACGTTGGTTATACTCAGTAGGTAGTGTTTGAAAATTTCATGAAATTTAAAAAAATAAAATATTTCAGTATTTTAATATATTTTGTTTTATTTTTAAATAAGTTTAATATTTACCTATAATTGTCATAAATTACCTTCATAACTGTATGGTACTTGTATGTATATCTAACCTCTGGTATTATACATTTAAAATGGTATTCAAAATTTTTAAATATTTTAATGTTTAAATGATACAAGTAGGTATACAATATTATACATGTATATTGTATACCTACTGAATTCTGACATTAGAATTTAGAACACTGAACATTGTGTTAAAAAAATAAATAAATTGTGTTTTTATTTGAGTTAAAAAAATTTCAATGTTTCACGTTTTTGTGAAATATTTCATACTTCAAACACTAATACTCAGTGGTGTTCATTTAAAATATAGGAAGGTACTATGTTTTACACTTTTTGAAATGGACATTTTAAAATACCTATTTGAGTGTTTTAATATTATTAAAAGTTATACCTAACTATAGTATAATATAGATATTAATATAACGTTGTAATTTACTTGGAGGGGGGAGGGGGTAAAACAAATTAGCTTTTGGGAGCAAATAATTTTGAACACGCGTCTTGTAAGTAGATGGCTTGTATGTTAGGAAATGTATTTAAATGTAAATTGTTTAAATTAATTATGTTAGCTAGCCATTTTCGAACATTAAGTCATAATATATTTAAACAAAGAAATAATCGATAATTATAATTTTAGGTAGGTGGTGATGTTCCAAATGTTTGATTTTAGAACCGAATAAAAATTAATTGAAAATTAAAAATTACCAGTATTCAAATCGAATAAAATGATTAATAATGGCTAATAGTTTGGTTTGAATAATTTATAAATAATTTATTGTTAATTTTTATTATATTTTATTAACTAAATATTAAATTGTCCTAATAAATTGTAATAATTATGTTAATAGAATGAAAACAATAATTAATATTTCTATTTGGAGACTAAACCTGCAATCACTGTAATGTAATCTATTTAGTATTTATCTATATGTTATGCGTTACTGTTTTTAATATTATACTGAAATGTAATTTAAGGTTATTATCCAACATTTTTATTAGGCTTGTTTCGTTTTTCAATAAATAAATGAATAAATATAAATTACAACAATTAATAAAATGTTTGAATTGAACAAAAATCCGGTTCGCTTTCGATATAACATTTTGATAGTATTGTTCTGATCAAATTCGTTTTATTAAAGCATAATAGATAGATCCGTTCTAAAAATCAAACTCAGTCACATCACTCCAATTTAATTTAATTATTTATTTATTTATTTAAGTAAATTATTTATAATTCAGACTCAGAGGTTCTCAAACTTTTTTTCACGTATCTACGAGACAGCAGTGTAGGTACACTGTACAATAACTACCACTCATGTCTCATGATGTATATTACGGGGAACTATTCGATATTTCAATACATTTATAACAATAATAATTTAAGAACATTTAACAGTTTTGTTAATACCTATTTAATACCAATTTACACAAAACATAAAATAATACATGATTCGTTTTAGGTAACTTATAAACATTAAAAATATTAATTTAATAATTTATTAATCGCACGCGGTTTTCTAGTTTTCTACGCACCACCATATAACTTTCCGCAGCTCCACGTACCACAGTTTGAGAATATAAATTGTATGTTATATGTATTATATTAACATTATACCAATTAGTAGCCGATTCTGCACGGTGTTGCCAGTGACAAATAAAATGCGCAAATGTAATCTGCTCTCATTTTTAAGTCACTTATTTGAGTTGATTTGACCCAAATTGACTATTAAATACAAGACTAAAATCATAAATAATTAGGTAGGTATATAATAATTATTACATTTTCAGTTTTTCTGTAACCCGTAGCAAACCTATATAAACAAAAAAATATTCGTGAGCCAAAAAATTCCTGTGACATCCCCTCTATAAAATGGAAAATTAAAAAAAATTGATTTTGAAGTGCAAATTCTCGAGTATAGGATTACCCTAATAGTACTGCCAAATTTTAGAACACTATAGTACGATAGACTTGGCTATGGTTCGCTTGCAGACAAACACACAAACATTGCCTTAGATTGAGTAAATGTAAATAGTTATACATATGATATTATAATATGTGGAGGTGAGAAAAATAAATGCAATAATTTATTCGCAGAGTAGTAATCGTAATATAATTCTGTGCCTGTGACAGCGTGACCTATAATCTATAGGTCTATAGGTATACTGTAAAGCAAAAAACAAAAAACTCGACATAATTAAAAAAAAAATGTTTTACGTTACTCTCGCGAATAATAGTTATTATTATATATTAGACATTATTTATAGTTATAGTAACTTATTACTAGTAATATATTATATATTTATTGTATGACACACACACACGAACACTACGTACGGTCAAAGTTTTATTGACATCACGTTTAAATGTGTAATAACACAAAATAACAATATCGTGATAATATGAATAATATCGTTATAGACCGTCCTCGCTCGACGTCTGCGGGTGCGTATCTACATATATAGAGTTCGACGACGACAGAACATACGTGGTAATGTGGTATATATATAATATATGTACCTATAACATCAACCGATTTATGCTTATATATTACGATATCGATGATAACGACGATGATAATGATGATTATGATGATGATATGATGATGATGATGATGATGATGATGATAATAATAATAATAAAGCGTATTTTTCGAGACGATCGCGGCGCGAGTCACTATACATTACAGACGGGCCATGTGCTCGGCGCGCCGGGTCCACCGCACGGCTCTCGGATTGGCCGAGATTCGGCGTGCTTGGGCGGGGACCCCCGCGGGTGCACCCCGGCGGAGCCCTGGTGCAGGGGCGGAGGCTGCGGTGCATCGTCGGCGAGCGAAGATGACGAACGCGCCGCCGAAACCGGCAACAGTAATCGAGGAGACACGTCGCCGCGGGGACGGACTGCAGCAGACCATAGATATGCACACGACGAACGCTGCACTTGCCGGTTGCACCGTCACCATGGACCAGTTCGCCGCCGACGAATACCTGCAGCCGCAGCATCAGTACGCCGCCACCGCATCCGCTGCTTCCACCGACTACCACTGCGGCAGCAATCCCTCCGAGTGCGAACCGGCCGCCGCCGCCGCGTACCCACATCACCATCACCATCACACGCACCACTCGGCCAAGGACGGAGGTGAATACTTCGCGGAACCTTATTACTACGACACGGCCGCCGCCGCCGCCGGCTATTGCGGAGGATACGGTGGTCCGTACGACGCGTACAGCGACCACAACTGGTCATCGTCGCCACAGGAATATAATTCATCGTCCGGCGCTGGCGGGGTCGCCGACGTGTCGCAACCGTACTGGACGCCGGCGGACGTCGGAGGACCACTGCAACTGACGCCACTGACTCTACAGCCACCCCCGCCGCCACAAGCTTCACTATTGGTCCCGGAACTGGCCGGTTTCTGCGACGTCAACGACTTCCGGTCTGCCGAACACGGCTTATTGCAGTTTCAGCCCGGTCGCGGGGCTACCGACCAAACCACCTGTATGACCACGGCCACCGCCGCTGACCAATTCTTCAGTAAGTATATGCGCTCGTCCACATGCGTCTACACCCTAAGCGTAACTGGGGGAGCTTAGCCCTCTCAAATATAATATGATATAATATTGAATAGATAGTCATTAAAAAATATGTTTTCTTCGATGAGGAATTGTCGCATTGAGGCATCAGATTGGATAAAACGAATAGGAATAATGGATGGCTGTTTCTCAACTTTGGCAAATGCTTAGATTCGTTATAGCCTATAGTAGGTTATCTCCATCGAGAACCAACCTTTTTATTGTAAACTATTTTGTTGATTTTGTAAATTTGTAAATCTCCTTAATATATTTAAAAATTCCGATAAATATAATAAATAAAATATTATATTATATTATCCTGGTGCACTGCTGCAGCCTGCAAGGATTGATTAGCGATAAATCGTCTATTCTGCAGTAATTAATATACCCGAGTATGTTATTTATGTAATTGTGTGTAGTCATATTTGTTTTCTAAACAAGTTTTTTATCCTTACCTACGTTTGCGTTTTCGTATCAAACATTCAAACACTTCTATCTACTGTTTACTATAAATCAAGTTTTATAATATTGTTCAAACCAAAAAAAACAACTTCTAATTTGTGGTTAATATATACTTTTTTTAAGACACCATAGAATTACACATATATTTAAAAATAAAATTATGAGGCACTGAAAATAAAATCTATACATGTTTCTAATTTTAAATGTTAATAATAAAGCGGGTAGTGCAGCGGGGTGGAGTAGGTCAGCGGTGGTGAAGTTTGTCATTGTCCTTTTGGTCCTCGGACAGGACAGTGTATTATTACAGTATTCGATTTGAATGCAATGATTTCATTCGATAAAAAACTACCTATTATGAGATAACGAAAGAAAATGTATGAATCATAAATATGTAACCAGCCATGAATTGGATAATATTATAATTTATAATATACCTACCTAGTGAGAATTAGGTATTTTTTTTAATTTTATTCATTTCTATAGTGATAAACAAAGTGTACAAAAATATACATCTTGGTGGTTTTTCAGGTGGCGTTAAAAAACTATTGAGAAACTCGAAAAATCACCTCTCTAAAGTACCATCTTGGTCCAATTTGATAAAAGATAAGATACTATGTATATAATATGTTGAAATCAAAGCGCTCTTTCTGGTAGAAATTTTGTTTACAGGATAAAAAAATGAATTCTATTTTTTTTATAGTAATAAGGGTATGTAAAAAAACTATAAAGTCAAAAATTGTAAAATATGTATTTTAAGTAAGTACATCAAAACCAAATAAAAATAAACGTTATCATCACAGGATAATCAATTTTGATATGTATAATGGATTAATAGAACATAAAAATGAACCGAATATCTCCCGATATGTGATAATATAATTTTGATTAGAAATGAATAAAGCATGCCCTTATTTATACAGTGTGATTCATTAAACATAATCACTCTCTTTTCATCTCTTTTTATCATTATAGGTAGGTATATTTTGATTTTTGGAATTTTTAAATTATTTAATTTTTAGATCTAGATAAGAGGACTAAGAGGTAATGGTGTCATGTACCGAAACAAAATATTTTACAGATATATAAAACAGATGATGCATTTTTTGAAAACTTTAATGCAAATAATCTGTAAATATAAAAATTCAAACTAGTAATTTCTGAGTTATAAACTTGTTACAGTAAAACTTCATGCATTAAGGATAACATCCCTTTGTAATTGTTTTGCATAAAATATTAAATATGGGTAGTAATATTTAGTCTAGAATGGAAACTCCTTATAACTATCAAACAATTTTTAGAAGTTATATACTATTTTAATGCAGATTTTAATCAGTAATAAAATTGTTATATCGTTTTCGAATCCAAATATTATCATCTAGGAATATAATAATGGACTATTATCCTTAGTAGAGATATCAAGTTAAATAACTCAGAAATTAGTAACTACTCGTTCCACAATGGAATTACGATGTTAACAAAAATTATCTGCTTAATCATTTGCTGTAAAAAAGTGTATAAATATTAACCTATCTTGATTGAAAAAAGCAATTTGTACCGTACTAATTAAGATAAAAATCAAAATATTTAAAACTTTTATGGTCTTTGACTTTAAACTTTAAGTATAATTAAAAATTCCAAAAATCAGAATTTTAATAAATTTATTATTAAAGGATAAAAGGCGAGGTGAGCATACTTAGTGAATCACTATCATATACTTATTCTTACTTATTACATCTATACGTCTACTATTTTAACAATAATCAAAGTTGGATAGATATATTTGATAAACATAAACAAATATTTTAAAGTAGGTAGGTAGGTACTTCGAATTACTGTATTGATATCAAAATTACCATCTTACATTCTTAGAGAATGTAATTACTTATATTATAATACCTACCTACATAGGACTATAATAAGAAGCATGCCCAAGCGCGCCTGCAAGATAAAATCCCAAGCGGGCCAAGAGGTACAAGTTATAAGAATTACTAATACCTAATCTAATAATAGTTATAGTAAAATAGATATTAAAGTTAAAAATGCACAGGGGAGCAATGGCGCCTTTGCCTTAGATCATATACCATGAATGGAGCCACAGTGTATGATTTTGTTGCCGATATAACGACAAGTCACTGAATTAGATGATCGATGTGCGCAAGCGCAATGCAACTCCTCGCATAATTATCCATAAGTACAATAGGTATCTGTGGATAAATATGGGAGAAGTCATATTGCGCATGCGATACCTAATTCGGAGACTCGTCGCTGATATCGGCAACGTTTTTTTGTATTGATTTAATACGCTGTGGCTCAGGGGCGGAGTGGCCGGTCTGGAAATGGGAATTTTCCAGATGGCCTGGACCATACTATGGCCCGGTGGCCTGACCATTTTGTTAGATTTTTTTTTTAAATTTAATTTAATTTACAAAATATTAGTTAATGCTAAATGCGTCGTAAATTTGTTTCTATTAAATTATTGTATTACAAATATTATTAATGCAATAACAGTACATTGTGATAGCCTCGTACAATTATATACTCTTATGAGAACGCTTTGGATATAATTATATAAAATTACAAAATATTTGGTACATAAATATAGACATCAAATAAAATCAAAGCAATATAATATTGATATCGGTCGGTTATTTTTATAATAAAACACCCATTTTAAACATTGAAGTATTTAAAAAACAGGCTGAAAATTTTAATTACCAATGATTATCTTGAGTCTTTTATGCTAACGGCCATTGAAAATAAAATTCTCATGGAAATAGATAACAATATTATCATAAATGCATTTGGTGAGAAATCTATTCTATTTTCTAAATTATTATGAATGTATAAATCTTTTATCTATTATTTTGAGTTAAGAATTCGTAAAAATTTTTCTTTTTAAATCTAAGATTTGAAAATGTAATACAAGATTACTCATAAGATTGTCTACCTTTATCAATAAAATAATCTCTACCGGAAAGTCAAATTAAATTTTTATGAGCGTTTGAAATTCAAATTTTTACAACATTGGATATTCACTTGATTTCTCATGTAACGATTTTCTTATTATGTTGTAATTCAAAAACGAATAACTTTAGATACATGAAAATTTCACTGAATGTTCAGATTAGTAATTCCTATACACTGTACAATTTTGAAAATATTTCGACTCTTTTTGAGCTGTTTACGGACATTTTCAGTTTTCAATTTTTTTAGTTTTTTTTTTCTATAAATATCAATAAAGTTTTATCTGTTGGCCAAAAAGTGTAACAATTTAATACAAGGTTGCTGATATGTTGTTACAGTAGCAATTGAAAAATATTAAAAATACATAGGCACAATTTTTTTTTATGAGCATTTAAACATCGAATTTTGACAAAATTTATCAAAATCTCGAAAATTATCAATCATTGTAATTAATAAATTATAAAATGTTCAGTTTTTATAGCTAAAGATTGCAAATTTAAAACAAAGGTTCTCATAAATAGTTCATACTGTAACCAAAAAATCTAAAAAATAGATGAACACAGTTATTTTTTACAGACATTTTAAATTCAAATTTGGACGAAATTACATATTAAAATCAATATTAACCATCTTTGTTTTTGTTGTAATTTAAAAATATTATTCGGGGATATATGAAACTGAAAAATCAAAATATTATGGCCTATCCATACAATTTACTATAGTATAAGAAATAAGAATTAAGCTCATGATAAGACTGTGCATATTTTAAGAAATTTATTCATAAATTCCATATAATTTAATACCATAGAAAAGTATATAATATGTCTTATACCTAGACTGACATACCGTCTCCGCTCAGAATCGTTTTTCTTATACAATGATATTATATCATTGCATTGAAATTTAATACCATCCATTATACAGCGACATCCACTTACCCACCTTTTTTATTATATATTGTTTACAATGTACCTATGTATTTATCTATTACTTATTACCTTAATATCTACTATACCTAAACAATTAAAACACAATGTATAATATAATTATTAATATTTCGTTGATTTCAACTATTAAACCATACCTACCTACTAATTTTATTTTTCAGACTTTCAGGAATAAGTACTTAGTGGTATATTAATATAATGTGTTAGAAGACAGAAGTTAAAAGAAATAGTAAGATAGTGAATGAAATACTTTTATAATACTAAAAGTAGTTTTGAAATAGGTAAATAGAAAACCCAAATTCGAGAATAGCGAGAAATTTGGCGGGTGGCCTGAATAAATTTTAAACTCCCGGCCTGGATTTGGTCCCCACTCCGCCCCTGGCTGTGGCTCCATCCATAGTGTATGATCTAAAGACTTTTCCCTCCCCCTCCCTTAGACGTATCTATCTATAAAAGCACACCTTATTAGACTATATTACTATAGCTATTCTAAATAGTTAAAACTAAAACTAGATGTCTAAAGACTTCAATTTTCTAGCTATTTTGGTGTAGCACTGTAGCCATAGCTCATGCCGAGTTAACTACATGTTGTAGTGTTTGCAATTTTTAATTATAGGTACTAGATAAGTTTAAAAGTTACCTAGGTAT